TGCCCCTGAGGCCCTCCCTGCCAGGCAGCAGTACCCCTGAGGCCCTCCCCGCCAGGCAGAGCCCCCCAGTGCCCCTGAGGCCCTCCCCACCAGGTAGCAGTGCCCCTGAAGTGCCCCTGAGGCCCTTCCTGCCAGGCAGAGCCCCCTCAGTGCCCCTGAGACCCTCCCCACCAGGCAGCAGTACCCCTGAGGCCTTCCCCGCCAGGCAGAGACCCCATAGTGCCTCTGAGGCCCTCCCTGCCAGGCAGAGCCCCCCATTGCCCCTGAGGCCCTCCCACCCCACGTGCCCTGTGCTTCGCTCCCCAGGCTGCAGACCCTGAGCGGCATGTCAGCATCGGACGAGCTGGATGACTCGCAGGTGCGTCAGATGCTGTTTGACCTGGAGTCGGCCTACAACGCTTTCAACCGCTTCCTGCATGCCTGAGCCCAGGGCACCAGTGCCTGCAGGGAGGGGTAGAGTCTGAGATGCTGGTTCCTGGACCCTGTCCTCCACAACTCACTGGCTGCAGCTACCCGTCTTGTGTCTGTCTTTGGTGTCAGGACTTTGGGGGCCAGGCCCTTCCCTGCAATAAAGATGTTCTCTGACCCTCCTACTTGGATGGCTCCCCGAGGCCTGCCCTGTGTGTTCTCTCTGCCTTCTGGGACTCTGAGCATGAGCCCCTCTAGCCCACCCACCTTCGACCTGCGTGGGGGCCTGGCCCTAGCTCTGTCCCTGCCACTGTATCCCTCATGGCCTGTGTCATTCAGGGACAGCCACTTCCCTGCTGGGCTTTGCTGGGCATGTAGTGGGGGGCACTTCCATGGCACAGAAGCCTGGGGAACGAACGGGCCCACCACCTTGGCCAGGTGTGGCTTGACTGGCTGCAGGGGAGGCTGCCTGCTGCCCCTCCCACCCTCACCAAAGCCCAGGGCAGCATGGGGTCTTCTGAGTGCCGTCAGGTCCCAGCGCACCTGCTGGGGCTGGGCTCAGAGACTGCCCTTCATGCTGTCGGCTGCTTCGCCCCCACCTCCCACTCAGATGGCTGCACTGGGGCCTACTGCTCCTGACTTACCTGTGGCTCCAGTCAGTGACTCATTGGGTGGGAGTTTGTCTTGCCCACCCCTAGGGTCCTTCTCCAGGCCCCCCAGCAAAGCTGAAGTGTGAAGGCTGGGCCTGGTGGGGAGGCAGTGGTGGGGGATGCCATCCATCCACAGCGTGTGCTTTGCACCTGCTGCTGTCCCCAGGAAAGCAGCAGACCACACACCACACCTCTGGGTCCTGAGGGACGCACATTTCACAGCTTAGCATCTGTGCTGTCAGGACGAGGGATGTGTCAAGGTTTCATTGCAGCATTTCTCTCTCTTAGCAGTTGAGAACAACGGCTTCTTGACGTGTGGCATCTCGAGTGGATGGAATGAGGTGTGTAGAGTAAGCCAGATGGTGAAAATCAAGTCGGGTGGTGGTCCGAGGGGGCTTGGCGCATGGACAAGACAGGTGGGCTGAGTTAGGGGTGGCCTCTCAGACGGCCAAAGGGAGCCATCAAGCAGGGTGCCGACATCCGTGACTGCAGAGGGAGGCCAAATCCCACCAAGAAACCGGAGGACTGGCCGGGGTTGCTGCTCTGGGAAGTGAGAATAGACTGACCAAGGAGCCAAAGAGGAGCCCCGGGGAGCTGAGGAAGGGCACTGTCGGGTCTGGCCACCAGGCCCTTGATGTCTCTGACAGGCACATGTGGGTGCAGGGCACTTCAAGGGAGGACCAGCACCCCAAAACTTCTGTGTCAAGGTGGGCAGATGGTCAGGGAGGGTCTTTTTGAAATAAATATACATTGTCGGTTTGTTTTTTAAGATGGATTCTACCTTTGTCACCAGGCCGAAGTGCAGTGGCATAATCTCAGCTCACTGCAACCTCTGCCTCCTGGGTTCAAGGGATTCTGCCTCAGCCTCCCAAGTAGCTGTGACAACAGGCATGTGCCACCACACCCAGCTAATTTTTGTTTTTTTGGTTTTTTTTTTTGAGACGGAGTTTCACTCTTGTTACCCAGGCTGGAGTGCAATGGCGCTATCTCGGCTCACCGCAAACTCCGCTTCCTGGGTTCAGGCAATTCTCCTGCCTCAACCTCCTGAGTACCTGGGATTACAGGCACGCGCCACCATGTCCAGTTAATTTTTTGTATTTTTAGTAGAGACGGGGTTTCACCATGTTGACCAGGATGGTCTCGATCTATTGACCTCGTGATCCACCCGCCTCGGCCTCCCAAAGTGCTGGGATTACAGGCTTGAGCCACCGCGCCCAGCCTTAATTTTTGTATTTTTAGTAGAGACAAGGTTTCACCATGGTGGCCAGGATGGTCTTGATCTCTTGACCTGATCAGCCTCCCAAAGTGCTGGGATTACGGGTGTGAGCTGCCATGCTTATAGGGCACGTTGGGAGCCAGATGTAGGGCTGTGTGCCCCACATGGTCGTGGGGTGAGCCTTATGCTATGCTGAGGCACAGGATTTGAGAAATAAAGAGACAGGACACAGAAGTACAAAGAAAATGCAGCTGGGCTCGGGGGGCCACGCCACCTGTAAGTGTAGTCAGGCGAGGCCCCAAATGTCCAGAAGCGTGAGTATTTATTGTGTATAGGTTAGGGGGCAGGGCAGTGAGTGAAATCATCTTTAAGGATAGTGATAGGGTTGTGAGCAATAAAACACAGGGTCCACCCCCATTAGGTCACCTAGGCTAGGAGGTGGACAGTGCACAGCAAGGGGCCCGTTCCCATGAAGGCAAAGGCCGTGTGCAGTAAGGGGTCCACCTCCATTAGGCTACCGAGGCTTGAAGGTCGGCCGTGTGCAGTGAAGAGGGTGCAGTGTGTGATACTTCTATCTACGGGAAAACTACTTCTAAGAAGATTTATAGGAGGATCCTTTAAGTCACACAGCAGTGACAGAGCTGTCAGGGTTACCGCCACCTTCTGGCAGCTTCCAATGGGTTCTGTGGGAAGATGCTTTTCAAGCAGCACAGTAGCAAGAGCTGATAAATTTCACAGTCACCAAGGTGGATCGCCGGTCTGAGGGCAGACTTCCACAAGAACTGGAGCAAGGTCCTACAACTCCTTGATCAGGAGGAGTGGCTCTCGCCCCAAGCCTGCCATACAGTGGGCATCTTTACAATACTGAACGCTGCCGCCTGGGCCACAGATTCTTGTCCTGGTTTAACTGTTTTCCATTAATTCATGCTCTGTTCTGTGTCCACTCTAGGCATTCCTCCGATTATGAACTAAAATATAATTATAGGTATATATGTAGGGAAATATTCTTTAGGCACTCATACTATCAACTATTAATGATTATATAAAGAGGATTATATAAAGGGAGACTTCAAGCCCTATTTCTATAAACTAATATATGATTATATAATCGATTATATAAAAGGAAATAGCTGAGTAGTAACACTATAAAGTGAGATATTCCTCAGGCCCTAACTGTGCCAGGGTTCTACTTAGCTCTCATTCCTTGGTGCCTATATGGGGATTACCCACAATGCTGGCCTATTTTATTTTTTTTACTGTGATAAAATACAACAAAAATTTGCCATTTTAACTGATTTTAAGTACACAGTTCAGTGGCCTTCAGTGTGTTCACATTATTGTGCAACCTTACCACCGTTCACCTCCGGAACTTTTCAATCCTCTCTAATAAAGTAAAGCTCCATCCCGACCTGGCGTGACCTCGATGAGTCTTGAGGACATCGTGACGAGTGAAAGAAGCCAGACAGGACAGGGCAAGGATGGTGTGATCTGACTTAATGTGAGGACCCTAGCCAGTCAGTTTCATGAAGACAGAAAGCAGAAGGGTTTTAGGAGGCCAAGGCAGGCGGATCACCTGAGGTCAGGAGTCCGAAACCAGCCTGGCCCGCCTGGATTTTTTCTTTTTAGAGACAGGGTCTTGCTCAACTGCCTAGGCTGGACATGATACGATCGAGGCTCACTGCAGCCTCCACCTCCTGGGCTCAAGCAATTCTACCTCAGCCTCCCAAGTAGATGGGACTACAGGCACGTACCATCACTCAGGGCACCCTAACTTGATTTTGTAGTTTTTTTTTTTTTTTTTGAGATGGAGTCTTGCTCTGTCGCCCAGGCTGGAGTGCAGTGGCACAATCTTGGCTCACTGCAATCTCTACCTCCCAGGTTCAAGCGATTCTCCTGCCTCAGCCTCCTGAGTAGCTGGGATTACAGGCCAGCACCACCAGGCCCGGCTAATTTTTTGTATTTTCAGTAGAGACGGGTTTCACTGTATTAGCCAGGATGGTCTCAATCTCCTGACCTCGTGATTCACCCGCCTTGGCCTCCCAAAGTGCTGGGATTACAGATGTGAGCCATCACGCCCGGCCAATTTTGTGTTTTTAGTAGAAGTGGGGTTTCACCATGTTGCCCAGGCTGGTCTTGTGCTTCTGACCTCAAGTGATCCACCTGCCTCAGCCTCCTGAAGTGCTGGGATTACCAGTGTGAGCCACTGTGCCTGGCCAGTGTTGTTTTTAAGATGAGGCAATTGCAATGAGCTTGTTGGATGAAACAGTGGGCCTGGGGTGCAGGAGAGTGCAACTCCTCTGCTCTGGGGAAGCCGGCCTCAGGCTGTGGCATGGGCAGGTGACACCCTCAGCAGCCGCTCCTGGGCTATGGAAGGGGGGTTTCAGCTGGGAGGGGTGGGGTCACATGAATGGAGGAGGCCTGTAGCCCAGCACTGAGGCCTCCTGGGGAGGCGGCTGTGTGCAGACAGACGGGGCACAGGGTCAGGCCCAGGCCAAGACCTTTATCCTGAAGCTAAAATAGGTCCTGGAGCCGTGGGAGGCTCCAACAAGCCCACTGGTCCTGGGGTCGTGCGGGAGGGAAAGGGCCAGTTTGGGTTCACAGCATCTTCAGGCTGTGTGCAGAGCTGCCCCCTTGTGGTCCTGGGACCCAGAAATCATCTACACCCACAGGTGGTCTCCCCTAAGGGCCCCCAGAGGGATACCACTGTGGGTGGGCCCAGCCAGAAGGGCACCTTGCATGGCGGGGTGAGGCCGGACCCCAGGACACTGGGCCCAATGCCCGCCCTGCCCTGCTGCACCCTGCCCTGTGCATGGCAGGACAGAGTCCTTGGGCCTCAGGAGCCCAGCTCCCCACTCCAGCCCCACCCACAATGCTCAGGGTCAGGCTGGCTGGGCTGGGCAGGAGGCGGCATCCATGCTCCCACTTCAGAAGGCAAATCTGCCCTGAGATCTGCTGCCCCTTCCCCCAGACTTCCTGCCTCCACCAAGGCAGTAGAGATAAGGCCTCTGGGCTCAAAGGCCAGAGAGGGAGTGCACAGGCAGGGCAGGGCTGGGAGCCACAGCCTCCCTGCCCCCAGGCCTAGAGCTGGGGTCTTGTACCAACCTTGTCCTGACACAAGCCTGGCCAGGTGGCTGCCAGGGCCCAGGTCCGTCTCCTGTGTGTCTGCGTTGGAGCTCCTTGGGGCTGTCCCCAGCCTAGAGGAGTGTGACGTAGCAGGCACCTTTTCAGTTCCTTCAACCCCATCAGGGCCCAACAGGGACAACAGCCCATGACCCAGGAGGAGAGAGGCCCATGTCCCCACCCCCAACTGGGGCCACCGAGGGCGTCTGGGCAGCCTCTGCTGAGGGTTGTCGGGAGGGGGCCGAGGCCTGGGCCTGGGGGCTCTGAGAGCATCTGTGAACTTCTGCCTGCGTCCCCCAGCTTGGAAGCAGCTCCCAGATGGAGAGCCAGAAGGGGACACCCTGGCCCTGCTCCACAACTTGGGGGGCTGCTGGCAGAGGAGCAGATACCCAGGCTGCCCGTCCAGGGGAAGGGGCCCAGCCCTTGCCCCCCACAGGCAGTGGCTCCAGGCTGTCAGGGAGGATCTGCCGCTGGAATGGTTAACCCAGGCAACTCCAGCAGCCAATCACAGAGCTCTGCAGGAATACCTGGGAGAGGTCCTCATGTGGGGCCGGGCGGGTCCTAGCCCAGCCCCAGTCTGGCCCCAGACAGCCCCAGCAAAGCCGCCCTCAGCCAGCCCAGAAGCACTGGGCCTTGCCGCAGCAACACCCACTGAGCACGCTGGGAGCTGAGTATGGCAGTCCTGGTCCCGCTGGAGCTGGGGCTACTGCTGGCTGTGCTGGTGGTGACAGCGACGGCGTCCCCGTCTGCTGGTCTGCTGAGCCTGCTCGCCTCTGGCCAGGGCGCTCTGGATCAAGAGGCACTGGGCGGCCTGTTAAATACGCTGGCGGACCGTGTGCACTGCACCAACGGGCCGTGTGGAAAGGTAACAGCCCCACCCGACGGGTCCCCAAGCCCTGGCCTCTTGCCGCCTGCTCCGCCCTGCTAGCCAGCAGCAAAGAGCCCTGGGCAAACTCCAGGAGGCGGAGGAGGCTGGCAGTAGTACCTGGGCACCCTGCCCTGCCTGCAGGCTAGAGCCCACCCTTCTGCTCAGTGGGGGCAGATGGGCCTGCCTCTCCAGGGACACACAGCCCCTCTTCTCCCCAGGACCCTGGGGCCACCTCCCCCTGCTGGCCCCAGCCATCAAATTGGCAGTGGCTCCAGGGGAGTCCCCCGAGAATGGGGGACCACTGTTGGGGACCCCTCTGCATGCACCCCTGTAGTTGGGGAAACAGAACAGGGGCCTGGGGAGACAGAAGGGCATAAGGGGCTGAGAAAGGGTGGTGGATTCTGTTGGACGTGAGAGGGAGAGGAGTGGGAAGGGGGCTGCCGGGAAGCCCCTTGGCTGGGCTGGCCTCTCCTCTCCCCTGGTGGCCCAGCGCCCCTGCCCACCCATCTCTGCCCACAGTGCCTGTCTGTGGAGGATGCCCTGGGCCTGGGCGAGCCCCCGGGTCCAGTCCTGGAGACTGGGTATATCGCCCGCCTCAGTGCGGCTGCCGCCCTGTACCTCAGCAACCCCGAGGGCACATGTGAGGACGCTCAGGCTGGCGGCTGGGCCTCTCATGCGGATGACCTCCTGACCCAGCTCGAAAGCCCTGAGGACCTGATCCTGGGCCTGAGTAGACTGCTGCAGAGGATTCAGGCCCGGGCTGCTGGCCAGGCCCCCAAGACGGTGAGAGAGAGACCAGGCAGACTAGGGGAATGGGTGAGGAGGGCCCCACAGACCAGGGGGCCGGGCCTGCAGAGCCTTTAGGGAGCCTGGGGGCCTGGAGACACATGGGAGTCGGCCTCAGGCTGGGGATTCACAATGTGGGGCTCACTACTGATCAGGTGGGGGTCTTACGAGGAAGGAACCAGAGGGCTGAGTGGGAGCCTGGAGCAGCTGGTCCCAGCAGGAAGGGCGGGGCTGGTGGGGCACATCCTGCCTTGGTGGGAGATGCATCCAGCGGGTGGGTGGCAGAGCTGGACGCAAGGTCACACTGAAGGCTGAGGCCTAGGTCCCCCTTCCTCAGGCCTGCGTAGATATCCCGCAGCTGCTGGAGGAGGCCGTGGAGGCGGGGGCTCCAGGCAGTGCTGGGGGCGTCCTGGCTGCCCTGCTGGACCATGTCAGGAGTGGGTCTTGCTTCCTCGCCTTGCCCAGCCCTCAGTACTTTGTGGACTTTGTGTTCCAGCAACACGGCAGTGAGGCCCCTATCACGCTGGTCGGTGAGGCCTGGGCTGGGCTGCGGATGGGGGCGCCCCTGAGTCCCCAGCCTCTGTGTCCCTGGGCGGCAGGGCTGGAGCCCACACAGACTCACGGTGCTGACCGTTCTCCCTGCCAGAGCTGTCGGCCTTGATGCAGCGCCTGGGGGTGGGCTCCACCATGGAGGCCCATGGCGACCACAGTCACCAGCACAGGAGGGCCAGCGGCCAGGACCCTGTGCCCCTCTCTACGTCCAACAGCAGCTCCAGTGTGTGGGACACGGTGAGCTGTGCCCTGGGGTGAGATGGGGCCCCACCGGGGTCTGCCCAGGCCCCTGACCTGTCCTGTCACTCCCAGGTGTGCCTGAGCGCCAGGGACGTGATGGCTGTGTATGGACTGTCAGAGGAGGCAGGGGTGACCCCGGAGGGCTGGACCCAACTGAGCCCTGCCCTGCTCCAACAGCAGCTGAGTGGGGCCTGCACCTCCCAGCACGGGCCCCCCCTCCAGGACCAGCTCAGCCAGGCAGAGAGTGAGTGCCCGCCCCCGGCACTGCGCTGGCAGCTCAGAGGTGGGACTCAGGGAGGGAGGAAGAAGTGGCTGCAGAGAATGAGGGATGGAGAAAGCAAGCAGGGGCTGGAGGTAGAAACAGCAGAACAGGGAAAGGGGGGTCTCCAGGAGGGAGTGGCACTTTGAGGCAGGAGGGTCAGCCTGAGTGAAGGCCTGGAGCACTGAGCGCCTGCAGCCCTGGTGATCAACACCCCAGAAGGAGGGGCTGAGTCTAGAAGAAAAGCTCTCACTGGCCTCATCCGCCCCCAGGTTATCTGTACGGCTCTCTGGCCACGCTGCTCATCTGCCTCTGCGCCGTTTTTGGTCTCCTGCTGCTGACCTGCACTGGCTGCAGGGGGGTCACGCACTATGTCCTGCAGACCTTCCTGAGCCTGGCGGTGGGTGCACTCACTGGGGACGCTCTCCTGCATCTGATGCCCAAGGTCTGCCCCCACAACCCGCCCCCCCGACCGCCGCCCTTCCTTCCCCACCTTGGACTCCCAGGCCATGCCCTCCCAGGGCCCTTACCCACCCCACCACTGAACCCCAACCCCTCTCCCTGGGTCTGGGGAGGAGGTGCCCTGAGGCCCCCCTAGTCCAGCGCCCCTACTCCCCAGGTGCTGGGGTTGCACACACACAGTGAAGAGGGCCTCAGCCCACAGCCCACCTGGCGCCTTCTGGCGGTGCTGGCCGGGCTCTACGCCTTCTTCCTGTTTGAGAACCTCTTCAACCTCCTGCTGCCCAGGGACCCAGAGGTCAGGCTTCTTGGGAAGGTACCTGGGTTGGGGGTGGCTGTGCTGGGGGCCGGGTGGACACTGAGCAGGTACCCTCACAGGACATGGAGGACAGGCCCTGCAGCCACAGTAGCCACAACCACGGTGGCCACAGCCACGGCGTTTCCCTGCAGCTGGCACCCAGGGAGCTCCGGCAGCCCAAGCCACCTCACGAGGGCTCTCGCGCAGACCTGGTGAGTGTGCACCCGATGCCCCGCTCCACACGGAGCCCCTCCCACCGACCCCGTCCCACGCCCACACTCCCAGCCCCACCCCAGGCCTGCGGCCCTGCCTCCCGTCCCACCCCGCCGCGTCCCTCCTCTGCCTCGCCTCCGAGTGGGACTCACTCGCGCTCCTCCCAGGTGGCGGAGGAGAACCCGGAGCTGCTGAACACGGATCCCAGGAGACTGAGCCCAGGTGAGCCCAGGGGGCGACCCCGGAAGGGCTGGGGGATCTGGGGTCTGTGCGGAGCACGGGCGGGGCTGGGGACAGGCCACGAGAACCCACGGCCGCTGTGCCTGCAGAGTTGAGGCTGCTGCCCTATGTGATCACGCTGGGCGACGCCGTGCATAACTTCGCCGACGGGCTGGCCGTGGGCGCCGCCTTCGCGTCCTCCTGGAAGACCGGGCTGGCCACCTCGCTGGCCGTGTTCTGCCACGAGTTGCCACACGAGCTGGGTGAGCGGTGGGCGGAGTCGGACGGGGCTGGGCTGGGCGACAGAAACGGGTGGGCGGGGCTTGGTGGCGAGGGGCGGGTCCCGAAAGGAGGTGGGCGGGGCATGTAGATAGGAGGGCGGAGCTGTTGCCGTGGACCCGCCCCCAGGGGACTTCGCGGCCTTGCTGCACGCGGGGCTGTCCGTGCGCCAAGCCCTGCTGCTGAACCTGGCCTCCGCGCTCACGGCCTTCGCCGGTCTCTACGTGGCACTCGCCGTCGGAGTCGGCGAGGAGAGTGAGGCTTGGATCCTGGCGGTGGCCACCGGCCTGTTCCTCTACGTGGCGCTCTGCGACATGGTCAGGATGGTGAGGGGAGGGGGCTGCTCTGGGCAGGGCGCTGAGCAAGCGAGCTGGGCAGGGGCGCTGACCCGGTGCCCACCTGCTCCTCAGCTCCCGGCCATGTTGAAAGTGCGGGACCCTCGGCCCTGGCTCCTCTTCCTGCTACACAACGTGGGCCTGCTGGGCGGCTGGACCGTCCTGCTGTTGCTGTCTCTGTACGAAGATGACATCACTCTCTGATACCCTGCCCTAGTCCCTAGCCTTTGACTCAAGACCCCACACCCCACAAACCTACAGCCCAGAAGCCAGGGCCCCTATAGAGGCCCCAGTCCCAACTTCAATAAAGACACTCTCGTTCTCGGAGCCTGGCTGTGCACTGCTTGCTGGGTGGGAAAGGTCCTCAGCTGAGAAAGGACCATTATGGCAGTGCCTTCTCCCCACCAGGGTGCCTCGAAGAGAAGCCGGGAGAGCTGCACTTAGGGCCTCCCAGGCAGCCAGCCTCAGGCACCTCTTTTTGATGTGGAGACCTTACTTGAATGGGGTCAGGCAAGTTCGCCAGGGTGTGTGGGCAGCAAACGGTAATCAAACTTGCTTACCCACTGCTTACGCAGCTGAGGGCTTATTTCTCTGTCAAGGAAAGCAAGCCTAGAGATCATCAGACCAGAGTATGTGGCAGCCCATGGCTCCTGGGACCCTGACCTCTTCTGACTCTGTCCTCCTGTCCTCAGCAGAGGCGTTAATCCTGAGTCCCCTTGTGCTGGCCTTCTAGGGCTCCCATAACACAGCCTACCATAAACTGAGCGCCTTAAACCAGAAACTTATTTTCACCGTTCTGGAGGCTAAAAGTTAGAAATCAAAGTGTCAGGTGAGCCACACTCCCTTTGAAGCCTCTAGGAAACAGTCTGTTCCATGAGCCTTTCCTGGCTGCTGGTGACCCTGGGTGTTCCTTGGTTTGTGAACAGCATGACTCCAATCTCTGCCTCTGTCTTCACATGACCTTCTTTCTTTTTGTTTTATTTTTTGAGACAGAGCCTTGCTCTGTTGCCCAGGCTGGAGTGCAGTGGCGCCAATCTCAGCTCACTGCAAACTCTGCCTCCCGGGTTCGAGCAGTTCTCCTGCCTCAGCCTCCTGAGTAGCTGGCATTACTGGCACCTGGCACCATGGCCAGCTGATTTTTGTATTTTTAGTAGAGATGGGTTTTCAACCATGTTGGCCAGGCTGGTCTCGAACTCCTGACCTTGTGATCTGCCTGCCTTGGCCTCCCAAAGTGCTGGGATTACAAGCGTGAGCCACCGAGCCCGGCTAATTTTTTGTATTTTTAGTAGAGACGGGGTTTCACCGTGTTGGCCAGGATGGTCTCGATCTCTTGACCTCGTAATCCGCCCGCCTCGGCCTACCAAAGTGCTGGGATTACAGGCGTGAGCCACCGCGCCCGGCCTCATGATTCCGTTTCTAAGTCCTAGGTCCGTGCCTGGTCCGGGATGCAAGGTCCTGGAAGCTGGCGCTGGGCTCGCCCTGGGGAGGCAGCGGTGAGCAAGGCGGGCGTACAGCGCCGGACTCGTGGGGTCCTGCGTTGTCCGCGCGAGTGTTGGCGGCGGGGGTCGCTCAGCGCGGGGACACTGGGCAGAGGGGGCGTGCGGCCTCTCTGGGAACCTTTCGCGGGGCCCCAACGCTAGCGAGGCGCCGCACCCCTCTTTCGGACCCCGGGGCGGCCCCCCGGGCCACCAGGGGCCGCTGTCGCCCCGGCAGCCACGGCCAGGCGACGGCGCTGCGCAGGCGCAGAAGCCCGGAACCTCCGCGCCGAGCTTCCGGGCCCAGCCGGGCCCAGTTCGCCGCCGTCCCGATTCCCCTCGAGTCGGCTCCAACTGCCGGGTGGGAAGCCGGGCGGGCGGCCGAGGCGGCGGCGCGAGGCCGGGCGTCCTGCGCGGGCGACCCCGCTCACCCGTCCTCTCCCGGCCTTGAGCAGCCGGCGTTGGCGCCATGTACGCGGTGTACAAACAGGCGCATCCGCCCACCGGCCTGGAGTTCTCCATGTACTGCAACTTCTTCAACAACAGCGAGCGCAACCTCGTGGTGGCCGGGACCTCGCAGCTCTACGTGTACCGCCTGAACCGCGACGCCGAGGTAGGCCGGGCCCCGGAGCCCGCCCCGCTCCCCGCGGCGCGGGTGCTCTCGCCGCCCCCGGTTGCAGAGGGAAGAGCCAAGCCCCAGACGCGTTCAGCCATGTGCTTAAGGCTCCCTGTCCCGGGGAGCGAACGCAGGAGGCAGTGTGTTTCCTATCGCCGGATCAGAAGAACCTGTCTGGGCCGGGCGCAGTGGCTCACGCCTGTAATCCCAGCACTTTGGGAGGCCGAGGCGGGCGGATCACGAGGTCAAGAGATCGAGACCATTCTCGCCATGGTGAAACCCCATCTCTACTAAAAATACAAAAATCAGTCGGGTGTGGTGGCACGCGCCTGTAGTCCCAGCTACTCGGGAGGCTGAGGCGGAAGGATCGCTTGAACCCAGGAGGCGGAGGTTGCAGTGAGCCGAGATTGCGCCACTGTACTCCAGCCTGGCGACAGAGCAAGACTCCGTCTCAAAAAAAAAAGATAAATAAATAAAAATAAAAAAGGAGAACCTGTCTGAGGCGGAGCGGGACTTTGTCGGGGGAAGAACGTTCCTAGCACAAGGAACGAGGCCGGATCTAGGGTGGAGACAGACTGTTGACAGGAGTCTCAGTAAAGTGAGCAAACTCCTCAAGGTTTGGGAAGTACAGTGGTGTTTTGGTTGCCAGAGGGTTGAAAGCTGGCCCAGGAAGGCTACTTGCAAGAGGCAGTTTCTACAAAGTTATTGAAGAAGGAGTAATTCTTACCCAGGCCCAGGGATGGGGAGAAGAGGAGGGTGTTCCAGGCAGAAGAAACAGCTTGTGCACAGGCCCCAGGCAGTAGAGGGTGGAGAGGCCATGCACAGTGTGACCGTCGGGTAGAGTGGATGTGGTGGTGGGGATAGAGGGTGGCAGGCCATGATCAGGACGATCATGCCTCCTCCCACAAAGCAGGGAGGAGCCGCAAGAGGGCTGGAGTAGGGGCTGACCCAGCAGGTAGATGGGTCAGAGGCACAGGCCAAAGGCCAACCCTCCTAGTCACCTACCCCAGCATATGCACATGTTTGCTGGTCAGGGCTCCTGTTCTTTGAAGGCTTGACGAGGGCTGGAGTGTCTGCTTCGAACACACTATTGGCAGGAGGCTGCAGTTTCTCACCACATGAGCCCCTTCCTGGGGCAGCTCACAGCATGGCAGCCTCCCTCACAATGACAGAGGCCCACCCAAAACCCATCAAGACTGAAGCCACTGTATGCTCTGCAGCCTAAGCTCAGAAGTGACAGGCAGGCTGCATTGGCTCACACCTATAGTCCCACTCTTTGGGAGGCTGAGTTGGGATGATTGCTTGAGGCCAGGAGTTAGGACTAGCCTGGGCAACATAGCAAGACCCCATATTTACAAATAATTTTTTTTTTTCTGGTGAGGCAGTGACTTGCTCTGTCACTCAGGCTGGAATGCAATCTCAGGCTCACTTGAACCTCCGCCTCATGGGTTCAGGCATTTCTCGTGCCTCAGCCCCCTAAAGCCTCCACCCAGTAGCTGGGATTACAGGTGTGTGACACCATGCCTAATTTTTTTTTTTTTTTTTTTTTTTTTAATAGAGATGGGGTTTTGCCACACTGGCCAGGCTGGTCTCAAACTCGAACTGAGGCAGTCCACTCACCTTGGCCTTCCAAGGTGCTGGGATTACAGGAGTGCACCACTGTGCCTGGCCCAAATATAAAAATTAGCTGGGCATAGTGGCCCATGTGTAGTCCTAGCTACACGGGAGGCTGGGGTGGGAGGATCGCCCAAGCCCAGGAGGTCAAGGCTGCAGTGAGTTATGATTGCACCACTATAGTTTAGCCTGGACAACAAAGTGAGACCCCATCTCCAAAAAAAAAAAAAAAAAAAAAAAAAAAAGGGCCAGGCTGTAGTCTTAGTACTTTGGGAAGCCGAGGTGGGTGGTTCACCTCAGGTCAGGCGTTTGAGACCAGCCTGACCAACATGGCAAAACCCAGTCTCTACTAAAAATACAGAAATTAGCTGGGCTTGGTGGTGGGTGCCTGTAATTCCAGCTACTTGGGAGGATGAGGCAGGAGAATCACTTGAACCCGGGGGTGCAGAGGCTGCAGTGAGCTGAGATTGTGCCACTTCATTCTAGCCTGGGCAAAAGAGTGAAACTCCATCTCAAAAAAAGAAAAAAAGAGGCCGGGCGCGGTGGCTCACACCTGTAATCCCAGCACTTTGGGAGGCCGAGGTGGGTGGATCACGAGGTCAAGAGATCGAGACCATCCTGGTCAACATGGTGAAACCCCGTCTCTACTAAAAATACAAAAATTAGCTGGGCATGGTGGCGCACGCCTGTAGTCCCAGCTACTCAGGAGGCTGAGGCAGGAGAATTGCTTGAACCCAGGAGACAGAGGTTGCGGTGAGCCGAGATCGCACCATTGCACTCCAGCCTGGGTAACAAGAGCGAAACTCCGTCTCAAAAAATAAAAATAAAAAGTGGTAGTAACACACTGTTAAATTTCTGTCACATTCTACTGGTCATATCTACCAACCCTGGTAGGGGTTGCAGAGGGTGCAACACCTCCCAGCATTCACTGCAGAGGGCGTGGGTCTGCCTCGGACGCTGGCCACTGTAGGTCGGCTGAGGTGCTCATTCCACATCAGGCAGCAGTGCAGAGCAGGAGGGGTGTGCAAGAGCCTGGAGTTGAGGACTGAGGTCTGATGTGGAGGTAAAGTTGGAGTCTTCAGCTTGTGTGTGGTATCTGCCCTTGGAAACTGGTTGAGATCACCCAGAATATAGCCAAGGACAGGGTCTTGGGGTACCCCAACATTGAGAGATTGGGGATATGAGAGGCCATGAAAGAGCTGGAGGTGGCATGCCTGGAAGGCAGGGGGAAGCTGGACAGTGCCCTGGAGGCCCAGGGAAGTTGGCTGGCAGGGACTCAATGCCGGCCCCCACGCTGCTGAGCCTCAGGTGATGCCTGGTGATGCTGACAGCAGTCTGGTGGCAGGAGGGGGTGTGGTCTGACTGGAGCAGGGATAAGAGCCCAGCAGAGGAACAGAGTCAGGAACAGTGAACACAGGCAACTCTAGAGGAGATTTGTGCACATTGAAGCAAGAAATGGAACCATAAATGGCAGGAAAAGAGGTTTTCTTATTTTGTTTTGTTTTTTGTTTTTAAGAAATGGGGTCTTGCTATGTTGCCCAGCCTGGCCTCAAACTCCTGGGCTAGTGTGGGGAGCCCTTGGCTCTGCTCCAGCAGGGCTGGGCTGAGCCTTGACTGGGATG